GGAACATGCCTAGATGCTGTGAACAATTATTCCTGTGTGTGTCTTGACGGTTATGAGGGCTATGATTGTGAAGTGGAGATAGATGAATGTCTCTCATCACCCTGTATGAATAATGGAACATGCCTAGATGCTGTGAACAACTATTCCTGTGTGTGTCTTGACGGTTTTGAGGGTTTTGACTGTGAAGTGGAGATAGATGAATGTCTCTTGTCACCCTGCATGAATAATGGAACATGCCTAGATGCTGTGAACAATTATTCCTGTGTGTGTCCTGATGGTTATGAGGGTTCTGACTGTGAAGTAGAGATAGATGAATGTCTTTCGTCACCCTGCATGAATAATGGAACATGCCTAGATACAGTCAACAACTATTCCTGTGTTTGTCTTGATGGTTATGAGGGTTTTGACTGTGAAGTGGAGATAGATGAATGTCTCTCATCACCCTGCATGAATAATGGAACATGCCTAGATACAGTCAACAACTATTCCTGTGTGTGTCTTGATGGTTTTGAGGGTTTTGACTGTGAAGTGGAGATAGATGAATGTCTCTTGTCACCCTGTATGAATAATGGAACATGCCTAGATGCTGTGAACAATTATTCTTGTGTGTGTCTTGACGGTTATGAGGGTTTTGACTGTGAAGTGGAGATAGATGAATGTCTCTTGTCACCCTGCATGAATAATGGAACATGCCTAGATGCTGTCAACAATTATTCCTGTGTGTGTCTTGATGGTTTTGAGGGTTTTGACTGTGAAGTGGAGATAGATGAATGTCTCTTGTCACCTTGCATGAATAATGGAACATGCCTAGATGTTGTGAACAACTATTTCTGTGTGTGTCTTGACGGTTACGAGGGGTATGACTGTGAACTGGATATAGATGAATGTCTCTTATCACCCTGCATGAATAATGGAACATGCCTAGATGCTGTCAACAGCTATTCCTGTGTGTGTCCTGATGGTTATGTGGGTTTTGACTGTGAAGTGGAGATAGATGAATGTCTCTTATCACCCTGCATGAATAGTGGAACATGTCTAGATTCTGTCAACAACTATTCCTGTGTGTGTCTTGATGGTTTTGAGGGTTTTGACTGTGAAGTGGAGATAGATGAATGTCTCTCATCACCCTGCATGAATAATGGAACATGCCTAGATACAGTCAACAACTATTCCTGTGTGTGTCTTGATGGTTATGAGGGTTTTGACTGTGAAGTGGAGATAGATGAATGTCTCTTGTCACCCTGCATGAATAATGGAA